TTCCTTGACCTGTCTTTTCTTAGATTTATTCTAGTCGGTGTATTTACTCCATAGATATGCAGAGTCACTCTTCAAGTGATGGTGTTCTTGGACCTCCAGAGCTTTCAATAGTGGTTTTGCAAACTTCAGTTTGGGTCAGAATCACCTAGACGGCTTGTTAAAATACATTGTACACCCCGCCCCCAAATTTCCAGTTTAGCCATCCCAGGAAAGAGCCAAGAACTTGCATTTCCAACCTGTTTCCAGATGATGCTCATTATGCCAGGCAAGCTGATCGCCATTGTCTCAAACCACACAGAACACAGGAAGCAATCCTACCAGGTTGAGCCTTGGTGTAGAGAATGGTATGTCTGCCCAGGATATCCTCCTAGAACTCACATTCTAGTGAGGGAAGAAAGCAGCCTTTAGTCAGGCAGTGACTCCTTCAGAGAGGCCCATGTCTCCTGGTTACTTCAGACCAACCCACTCAGCTGGTGCAGTGTGTTTACAGTTCTGACTGTAGCCGTCAGGAAACGTGATTGTCCCCTGATAGGACAGTCCTGAATTGTCTCTGCCTCGGACTGCATTTGCTATTTGCTGTTTTTCCCCAGAGCTGCCCCCTGCCCCCCAGTTTTCTATAGCTTGGCTTACTCTCTCTCCTCCTTCTCTTGCTCTTGGTCTGCAGTGTTGCAGAGTTGTTCCCCGTTTGGAGGCTGTTGCTCAAAGCTCTGCACGTTTTCATTTATCCATCGGCAACACCAGGCAGAAGGCAGGCAGGTGACTCCGAGTGCCTCGGCTTCTCTACCTGTGTGCTCCCACTTCCCGGCAACAGAGACTTGTCTACGCATCTTACACTCGATCTCTCAGAACAGCTCATCTTGATTTTTAACTCTGCTGTCTACTTGTACCTGAGGCCCCAGTAGCTAGTTGAATCCGTTAGAGTTCTGAGAAGTTTAACAGGATCTTCTGAATGTCTTCCTGTGCACTGAGGATCAACATAAAGAATAGCCCTTTCAGGGCAGAGGAAATGGCTCAGAGAACAAAGCACTTGCCATGGAAATGTGAGCCAGAGCTCAGATCCCAACACACACCTGAAGTGTTTGATCCCAGAGCTTGATAGGCACAGACTGGGTACCTGAGGCAAGCTAGCTAGCAAGATTAGCTGAATCAGCAAATTGGGTATAGTGAGAGACGCTTCCTTAATAAAGGAAAGACAGTGAGGAAGATATCTGGTGTCAACCTCTGGCTTCCACATGAACCTGCACACGTGTATACCTGCATACACATGTTCACATGCATGTAAGCACACACTCATCATATATGCATACACAATAAAAAGAAAATAATAGGCCTGCTAATTCTGGGTACTGGGGTATGGCATAAAGTAAGATATCATTTGGCCATTACACGTTGGCTTTCCTGGATGCTAAGTCCAGGAAGACCATTCTCTGGCAGTGAGGGTAGAAGGATGGTGGACTACAACTTCCTGATCTGGTGCCTCTTCTCCCTGCCCCATTCTCCCTGCTAGGGTTCACTACCCTAAGCCCAAAATTAGAATTATAAATTTCAGAAGCTGAAGAAATCTGGAGTATGATGGCCCAAACCAAACCCTCAAGCAGTACGAAGTCTAATTCTTAGATGTTAGTGCAAACCACAGCTCCAGCCCTCTGCTTTGGAGGAAGAGTACGCTGCATACCTCTGTGACCGTGTTAAAGCATTCCTGCAATGGAAATGACCTTCATTTAGTCTTCTCAGGAATTTGTGGTACCATCTCATCTTCTGCATCCTCTTCTGGTCCATCTTCTAAGTTGCTGATCCTCCCTTGAGGCGCGCTAGCTGGTACAGGGCTGTTTAGGTGCCTTGCTCAATCACCACATTTTAGCTTGTAGGCTACATCCCCACGTTCTGCTCTCAGGGATGCTTCTCAACTCCATGGGATGGAGGCAGAGCATCCACCAGATTTTCCAGAACTGCTGAAATCCAAGCACTGTCTCCATCGCCAGTGCAGCGTCAGTTTATGAATTCAAACTTTCACTAAGTCAATTGACCACAGCTAGATAGAAGAGCCTTATCCGAGCTATCCATGGGAAATCAATCATATTTTCAATGTAAACATTGTCTGATGAAAAGAAAATCTGGAAAAAGAGAATTGTTCAGTTTGGGAGTTTAAAACTAAAAGGCAGAAAAGCCATTTGTAATGAGTTGTCCCTGTGTAATCACATCCTCCGCTTCTCTGTTTTTGGAATATCCGTGTCCACTGATGCCTTTTCCTAAGCAGTGCTGAATGGACAGTGCCGAATATTTACTATCCTGGAGTTTTTCACTTTATTTACTTTGAACTAACGTATTTATGCCATAAAAATTCAATAAACTACAGGTGTTACAGGGTTACTATTTATCCCGTTAAAATTCAGGTCTCATAGGATAAATAAAGTCCCAAAAAGAAAACGCTCTTTAAAAAATTATATAAAATAGAATTCTACCATGCTCAGTTTCCTCTGTTCTTAGCATCCTGCATGGACACAGCACATCTGCTGCACCTGATGAACCAATGTTGATACAATGTTATTAACTGAAGTCTGTAGTTCATATTATATAGTTCTGCAAGTTTTGACAAATGAAAACTGCCGTACATAATCCCCATCGTTACAACATTATTGAGGAATTCCACTGTCTTAAAAGTCTTCCATCTATGCTCTACCTAAATTCATCTTCCCTCTATATCAAGCCACACATAACCACTGATCTTTTTATCTTTATGATTGTTTTTTTCTAGAACGTCAGAAAGCTGTAAACTTGTAGAGCAGGTGGCCTTTTCAGATTGCCTGAGAAAAGTGAGAAAGGTGCATTCAGGATTCCTCCATGTCTTTTCATGGCTTGATTATTCATTGAGTATCATTGAATACTACTTTGTTGTATCAATAAGCCATGTTTTCTTTACTTATTTAGCTCTTGAGAGATGTTTTGGTTGCTTCTGGTGTGGGGCAACCATGAACAAAGCTGCACTACATATATGCATGTGGGCATAATGTAACTTGTTTAAGCAAAAAAGAACTGTGACTGCCACGACTGTGGTAAGCCCACATTTACCTTTGAAGAAAACCACCAGGTTGTCTTTAAAGCGCGTCTGTCAATGGCGAGTGATTTTCACTTTTGTTTGGGGTGGCCTGGCAGTCCGCCATTATTTGATATTATCATCTCTTCCTATTGGAGCCATTTGATGGGAGGGCAAGAGTCACTGTTTCAAGCTGGTGATAGAAGAAATGAGTGTTTTCTCATGTGCTCATTTGCCACCTGTATGTCTTTGGTGAAATGTCTGCTCACATCCTTTGCCCAGTTTTTTGAGTTATTGTCTTTTTTTTTTCACTATTGAGCTGTAAGAGGGCTTTGTCGTGTTTGCTATTTTTAAAATTAGTTCTGTGATAGGTTTGAATTCCATACAATGTGTGTATATTAAATGTGAACACATTCACCCCTCCCCAGCTCCTCTCCGATCTCTCCCCCTTCCCTACCTACCCAACTGTGTGCTCTTCTTTTTTTTTTTATCCCGTCAAGAATAAATAAACATTCTTGAATGTGGTCTTCCCCTGCAGTCAGCGTATCAGGAGCCGCACTCTCAGAAAACTGTCTCTTCCTCTCCCTGTAGCTAACAGTTGCCATCTGCTCCATGGCTGGAATGGGGCTATTCACCCAGATCCCTCTCCATGCTGGTATTTGGTCTGGCCCTGGCTTGCACAAGTTTTGTAAATGCTGTCGACATCGCTGTGGATTCCTATCTGCAGCTGCCCTGATGTATCCAAGAGATAATTTTCCTCAAAGCCACCCACTGTCTCTGGCCCTTACAATCTTTCTGTCCCTTCTTTGGAAATGATTCCCGGGCCTCCGGGGTGGAGGTATGATCTCTTGTTCATTGCACTTTGCTCGGTTATGGCTGTAACCGCAAGTAGAAGCTCTCAGATGAGGGTTGAAGATGTGTTGGTCTGTTGGGTGTGTGGGGAAAGGGTCTCAGATGAGGGTTGAAGATGTGTTGGTCTGTTGGGTGTATGGAGAAAGGGGTACAGAAAGGCAGGCACCAGGTGAGTGACCGGGCAGGCCTTAGGGTTTTCTTCCACATGCCAGTCTTTTGTCACATACAAAATTTGCAGTTACTTTCTTTGATTTAATAGGTTGTCCTGTTTTACTTTCTCGACAGTGTCATTTGCAACATAAAAGTGTGTACATTTTCAGTGCGGTGGTTTCACTGCCTGTTCGCTTGTATTTCTGGTGGTTTGCAGCGGGAATGTACACGGTAGAGGCAGTTAGCAAGAGAAAGGGCAGTGGAGAGATCTGAAGGTCCTGAGAAACAAGAGCAGAGCTGACTGTGGGCAGCGCTGAAGCAAAGACAAAGGGTGAAGCAGAGGGAGCAGGACGAGGATCTGAGCTTGGGTGGGGGAGTGCAGTGGTGCTCCCGGAGCACAACCACTGCTCTGGGGCATGCTGCTCCAGTCTCACGCACCTGAGAAGGGGCCCTTTCCTCTCGATCCTGGGTACCATGCAAGCTCCCTCTGAGAGGTGATGCAAATGTGGGAGGAGTTGTTGAGGTTATTTTGTAAGAGATACCAGTGTCGGGTGTTTCTTAAAGGCAGGGATCTGTCTAACACAAAGCCTGGCACACAGACTCCGGATACAATGTTGGTTGAAAGAGCGACAGAGGTGGTCAAGTGCCAGGGTAGGATTTTAACGGTACCAGGAGATGTTTGATTCAAGGACTAGCAGACAGTCCAGCAAGGGAAAAGTTGGCTCAGTTGGAAACAAGATTAGCAACTACGTAATTTCTAACTCTCACCACATACCTGAGCTGATAGCTCCCAAGATAGACAAGCAGTCCCAGGGAAGGAGGCGTGCAAGCCGCGGCCACACCGCAGCAGAGTTCTGAGGAGGAGGAGGAAGAAGGGGAGAGAAGCAAGCAGGAGGAGGCGGAGACTCTTTGCCAGCTTTGGCCAGTAGAGGTTTGGAAGCCTCCCCTCCTCCCGGCTGCCTCCACCTGGCTCCTCCCCGTGTTCGCCGAGCTCCCCTCCCCCTTTCCCCAAGGACAATCTGCAAGAAAGCAGCGGCCGAGGAGAGCTAAACCTACAAGGCAAGAGGGAGGCCTTGGGTGGAGAGCGAGGGGCGAAGCCACGAGTGAGGTGGGAGCGAACGCGCCGGGAGCAGGCAGTGGGGAGGACAGAAAGAAACAGAGGGCCAGGCGTGACAAGGCATCCGAAATCGCAGGCGAGAGGGGGATGGGTGCTGGGCACGCGGGAAGAGGCGAGCCCCTCGGTTAACCTCCCAGCACTTGCACGCTCAGGTCCCAGATCCATGGCCGGGGCTGCTCGGCTGGGATGCGTTTGGCAGCCTGACCCCTCCCCTGGTACACATCCAGTTCAAACTGGTGCACCTATGATGCTGCTAGGCTGTGTCCTGCCGCCTGAGTGCTCACACATACACATGATTTTGTGTGTTTATATTTAGCATCCGTGACTGTGTTCACATGCGTGTTCCTGTGGGTCCGGAAAGGACGCGGGTGTGCGAATTGTATGCATTCCTGTGCCCTGCGCCTCTTGACATACAGATTCAAGAGAATGTGAGCTGCTGTTAAAGGTCAGCTCTCCTAACCTTGGTAGGATGGACTCTCCTTCTCTCCCACTGAAAGTACGCCATGGAGACGTGCAGGGGCTTCTACGGGGGATGGGTGATGAGCCTCCCAATCCATCACCCTCCCCAATCCGGTGACGAGCTCCAGGAAAACTCAAGGGGAAAAAGAGCAGCACAGTCAGATGTCTGTTTCTTTTCTAAAGATTTGGGTTCCTATTTTCTCCAATCATGTAGTCTTTCTCGAGAACAGCAGAAATTGAGACATTAACATTCTAGGTATATGTATGTTCATGTTGGATTCCCAGTTTGTCACTCTCTAAGCCCAAGCTGTGTCTGAGTGTTTGATTATTTATTTATTATTTATTGTCTATTTAAAATTAGCATATAAGCTATTAGATATCATTATGACATTTTAGAATAAAATGTGTTTTTGGTCTCTTTTCCTCTTTCATGATCCATGCCCCCCCCCATCACCTATTTTTGCACTCTCTTGGTCTCCTTTCTAATGTTTTATGCTTTAACCACACTTATTCTCACTCATGGATATGGAGGTGTACTTTACAGAGTCAGATCTTAGAGAGAGAGAGAACATGGGGTTTTTGTTTTTCTGAGTTTGGGTAACCTTGCTTAATAGTGCGCTTTGCAGAGCCATCCATTTTCCTAAAAATTTAATAATTTAGTTTTTCTTTACAGTAGAGCAAAATTCTATTATGTTTATGTACCAATTTTCTATTACCCGTTAATCTGTTGTTGGTCATCTAGCCTGGCTCTATTTCCTGTTTCCTTCCTTCCTTCTTTTTAACCAGTGATGTTATAGAACCCAGGATCTTGTAAATGAATACCTGTGCTGTATTCCCAGACCTGAGTTTGTTTTTAGGAGTAGAATATGGAGCCATATCCATTCCCAAGCCTCCTTTTCACACATACGTGGTCTATCTGCTCACTGGTGCTTTTCAGCAAGTGTTACTGAGCTCCCCTGTGTACACAGACTTCAATGGGTAGAGTTGGAAGTGGATTTCTTTTCTTTCTTTAGCTTTTAGTCTTTCAGACAAAATAAGTTTTGTCTGAATGTATGTTCATACATCACACGTGTGCCTCATGCTTGTGGAAGCTAGAAGAAGGTTTCCAGTGGAGACGAGTTATAGACAGTTGTGAGCTGCCGTGGGGGTGCTAGGAATTGAACCTATGTCCTCTGGAAGAGTAGCCAGTGCTCTGGACCACTGAGCCATCTTCCCAGCACTGGAAATAGTTTTAAAAATAAACACACTCCCTGCCCTGGAGGGACTGTCAGTCTATTGGAGAAAGTGAATTTAACGATAATGCAGCCTGACAGTCAGGACATTTGACTAAAGGGCACGGGTTATCTTAGGCTTTGAATACCAGCAGGTCTCTGCTGCAGCCCCCGCTCCAGTGTTAGCGCTCAGAGTGGGAATGAGTAAGGATAGCATGGACACTGCCTTTTCCCCCCCTTTTTTCTGTCTCTGAGACAGGGTTGTGATATCTTACCAGGTTGGTCTTGAACTCTTGAGTTCCAACAGATATCTTGCTTCAGACCCTGGAATAGCTGGAACTGCAGGCAAGTACCAGCATGCCCAGCTATACAGGAATTTGAATTTCAATTATTTTTCATGTCATAACATATTTTTACAACCATTTAAATATAAGGACCCTTCATAGTTTGCTGCCATGCAAATAAGGGAGAATGTCTGGATATGTCCCTACAGGTTGTAGTTTGCTGGCCCTTGATCTAGTCCTGCCCTCCTGTTAGTGTGTAAGAAGCATTAAAATGTCACTCAAGTTGTGTTTAAATGCTAAATGAATGATTACTTCTAAACAATATGTGACTTGCTGGAGATTTAAAAAGAAGGCTTTCTGGACCTTTTATAGCTAGTGAAGATTTAATATATTGATAAAGGTGAGGAGGTAAGGCATAAAGTGATGGGCTGAGTGTGTATGTACGTATGTATGGTTGGTTGGTTGGTTGGTTGGCTGGCTGGCTGGTTGGTTGGCTGGTTGGTTGGTTGGCTGGCTGGCTGGATAGAAACACACAGGTTAGCCTGGGCAGAGGATGCAGTAGGCTCACAGACACCAAAGTGGGGCTGAGGAAAAGAATGCTCAGATGACAGCAGATCAAAGGCTCCATGGGTAGTGGGGTAGTAAGAATGTTGAAGCAGTAGGCAGGGACAGTTGTAGGAGCTGTGAATGTCTGAATCAAGAAGTTTGATTCGACTTCAGTGCTGATTTGGTGGTATGTTAATCTTAGTCTCTAACTATGCGTGTCTTTCATGTTTCTCTCACCACCTGTATTTTATTGGCATCTATGGGTTTATGCGTTTAGTCTCTATAAGCTTAGTCTTACAGAGACTTAATCTTACAGAGACTTAGCTGCGAGGTCTCTATAAGCAGCTACCCTGATTTTCCCAGATGCTGGATAGAAGCACAGCCTTCTCTTGCTCTTCCTCTGCATGTTCACCTTCACAAAAGCCTGGGGGCCTGCAGCCTTCCCACAGACATTTTCTTCCCATTTCTAGTAAAGCGAAGAAGGGCAGTGCAAGCTACTTTATTAAAGGGAGACCAGCTCAGCTATTGCCACAACAACTCAGGTAGAAGGAGGCAGCAAGGATAAAAGAGAGGGGGCGTGTAGAAAAGAGAAAAGGGAAGGATAGTAGGGGTTAGTGGCAGTTTTGACTCTTGAGAGGCAAGTGAGATATATTTTAAAAGTAACAGGTTTGAGGGAGGGATGAACCTATTGGCATTTTATGGATATAAAAGTATGTCTTGTGTGTTATATTTGCATACACACATATATGACTATATAAACATCCCCTCATAATACAAGGTGTGTGTGTATGTGTGTGTGTGTGCACGCACACACACATATCACTGTGTGGCAGAAATTTTGTTACTGTTCCATTTGATAATAATGTGAGGGTCAAGGCCTAAAGACAAAGGATTCAGCAGCTGCTTAGAAAGCTGAAAGCCCAAGCGGGATGGGCAGCACTGTGGGAGGACCCTAACCATCCCCAAGATTGACATCATCAGTTTGTTTGGCTCTAGTATGCTTTGATAGCCTCAAACTCAAGTTTTTGCTCCCTGTCACCTAGCCTTGCTCACTCAATTCTGCATCACTCTACTCCTAGCCAGAAACCAACCTGTGCTTGCCTGCTTGCTTCTTGATTGCAGGTTCCCTGTCAGTACCTCAAACCTCACCTGACCTGTGCCCTCTGCAGCGCCTCTTCCTGTCACTAAGAGGGAGGGTCCCAAGATGCACTCAGATTTCCTCCTTGCTTTCTCATTTCTTTCAAGTCCAGTGCCCTTTCCTCTTGACCTTAGCCTGTTTTGAAGACAGGTTCCAGTTGGGGTGGGAGGGCACAGGGAAGGATAAGCCAGGACTTACGCTGTCTTGGTCTGGATTACTGACATGTTAGCTTGTCCCTGAGAGGGAGTGGCTCTCCTCTGGAAGACCTCCAAAGCTCTGTGGCTGCACAGCCCAGCTTTAGTGGCAGAGTCTGATTGGATTGCTCTAGCCAGTCTAAGACAGACGGTTCTTGAGCAAGTGGCACATTGGTCTGGCGCATCTTGACTGACCACTGTCTTGAATTCTAGAGTGGATCATGACCAATGAGGAGCACCATGCAGCCAAGACCCTGGGGGTCGGCAAGGCCATCGCCGTGCTGACCTCTGGTGGAGATGCCCAGGGTAAGTAAAAGGGGACAGAAACATTCTTGCTGTGTGTGACTCCTGAGTGCCTTGACTCCCTCAGTCTGCAGACTAGAACAGAATCCTGAGTTTTCCTAGAAGTATCTGACATGAGCCTTTAAGTGTATTTAGATGTCATTTGCTCTACTCCTGATGACCTGAACTTTCAGAGTACTTCTATCTAGTTTCTCTAGAAGTTATTGCTGTTGGTCCTTGAGTAGCACTGGAGAGAATCTGAGATAAGATTGTTGAGGGAGCAATAGATGGATTTATCTCAAGAACTCGGGGAATAGTGGGGAAGGGAAGAGACTGGGAGTTGGTGTTGGGCAAACCAGCAGGATCCCAGGTTTTCACCTGGGGAGCGCTGTGCTCACAGCCCCAGCCAGTACTGTGAGCCAGCTTCCTCCCTTCTGTTCCAGCTGGAACTACAGACCCAGAGGGGTCCAAGAGGCAGGAACAAGAGAGAGAGAACCTGCCTCTGAACAGAGGCTAAGAAGCCATAAAAGTGAAGTATGTGGGAAAGGTGGATGTAGGTGGGAGGGATGGATGTATGATTTAAAAACAAACAGAAAATTTACCACGTTGATCTTTTTACATGCTCACATTGATAGAATGTTGTAGAGTCTGAAGGGTTGACAGGACACAGGGGCAAAGACGGGAAGAGAAATGGAAGGTTTCCTCTGACGCTTCTGACACTAGGCTTCGCAGACCTCACGCTAAGCACTCACTTTGTTCCCAGCTTTGTTGCGAAGAAGCTAACTTCCCATGAGAGAGAGAGAGAGAGAGAGAGCCCACGTATCGCTAGGGTTCTTACTCAGGCACAGGAATAAAATAACCCTGTGTGCATCAGCCCTGCTAGGAACGCTTACGCAGCCAATCGATGAGGCCAGCGGGAACAACCGGAAAACACATCACAAGGAAAATGCTTAAAAACAAACAGAACAAACAAACAAACAAACAAACAAACAAAAAACACTGATCCTTTTATTCAAGTATGATGCTTAGAAGAGTGGTTGGCCACAGTACACACTCAGTTAGCGGATTGCTAACAAATAAAGCACTGCCTATGATCAAACGGAATAGCATGTGCCAAGGATGCATCAATTAAAAAGGTAATATTTGTCCTCATGGCAGGTGTGTGTGTGTGTGTGTGTGTGTGTGTGTGTGTGTGTGTGTGTGTG